AGTGGATACCAGCAGTTTCACCACACTAACCCAAAGCAAGCAGCAATAGCTACAGCAGTAGGAGATGCAGAGTGAGACCCTAAGGACAAATTCCTGTGCAAAGGCCCAAGGATTGCAGAGGACAGCAAACAGACCTCCCTCCACAAGCACAGGAAGGAGAGAGGAGCAGTGAAGAGCATGATGGTTGGAGGCAACAGGAAATGCGTTCCTTGACTCGTCCTGTTCTCTGTGTGATAGTGTCTAGGCTGATTCCTTCTCTCCCAGGGCATTCTCACAGGCCCTTGGCTCCCTCTCTTCTGCTGTGCTAGGGATGCCTCCCCTACCTTGCCATTGCAATGATCTCTCAGGACAGTCACCTATGTATGGCTTCTCTTTAGTCTCAGTCTCAGCTGGTCCATTTTCACATGGTCTCTGTCACTTGGCATTCTTTGAAGAATCTGCCCTTGACAGTGTTCCTTAAAGTTCTACCTCTAGTCAGGGAGAATATGCTCATTTCACCAATAATGGTGATGTGATTCCCAAATATCAGCCTCTGCTCTGCTACTACAGGCTGTTTCAGCAGCATCTTCTCTTCAGGCATCTGTCCAGTGCATCCCTAAGCTGCAGGGAGCACTCACCTGGGTCTCTGAAAGGTCTCACTGAAGCCCCCTCACCATGTTTGAGGTAGGGGCCGGCATTCATTGGGCTAGGAGGTGTCACTCTCCAAAGAAAGTCTCTTCCTTTTTATCTTCAAATCCTAAACTTAGTATACCTTCAATTTGAATGAAAGAGTATTAAGAGTGTCAAACCAGTTTTCAGAAGCTTCCATGGAAGCTATTTGTTCAGGAAGTTTAATTATGCCCTCCAAGTGCAATGGGTGTTGTGGAGAAGCTGATAATGTGTGTGGAGACAGCTGATGTGACTTTGGCATGTGTGCTCAGGGCGAGGGTCTGGGTGGTGGAGGGAGTTGAAAGATTGGCTGCCTTCTCTTCTCTAAAGCTGAATTCAGTATCACTTTCTCATTACATGGGTTAGGATGGACTTACTCCTCCCCATGCTTCAGATTCTTTAGCTATGAAATATCCTGCTTTCTCAGCAGAGCATTGAGAAGTGAAATGTCCTAATGGATGAATAATGTGCTCTATAAATGCAATGTAATTAATTTGTCTACTCCTACCCCAGAGTCAGTGTCCCTTCCCCAGATCCTGACTGAGTCACTGTCCATCACACACTAAAGGCAATGTCACACTTCAGTACAGAGCCATAGGGGCCACAGAGGACCTGGAGATGACCTGGGGTAGCAAGGACCTCCCCAGGGAGTTGGAACAGAGAGACATCAGGCCCAGCCTGCTGGGCCCTGGCTGTAAATTTGCCCCTGAGTCAGTCCAATTCCAGCCTCACCTGTGTGGTCAGTGAGTAAGAGGACCATAGAACTGCCACCAAAGCCCTTGGGAAGATTAAGAAAGACTCCAGCAAGGTGAGAGTGCCCACCTCCAAGGACATTCCTTTCCAGCAGATTGGGATGGGGTAGTTTGGTGCTTGTCATCCCCAGGAAATGTGATATCTGACACCCCAGTCCTTGAGACAACGCCAGGGGAGATAAGAGACAGTAAAGGTTGGCAGGTGCCCCAGAAAACTAGGAGAGAGGGTTCATGGCTTTTAGGAAGAGAAAACAGCTATACACTAGTGTTTATCTTTACTCTGCCCTAAACTCCGCCTGAAGAGTCACTGAGTGGACGAGGAATGATATTCATAACGAGTGACCTCAAGAGGGAAGCTGGTATCAGAGAAAGGAGATAGAGTGGGGAGGTTTGAGTCATGCTATCAGGAGCGAGCTTTCTGTAGTCAGTCGTCCCAGCCTGGCACAGGTGCTATGAGACAGTGAGGCCCCTGTCGACGGTGGTGTGAGACCACAGGCAGTCACGTGGGGGGTTGTTATAAAGCCCAGGGCACTGTGGGCTCCAGGGTAAGTTTACTTCCAATGTGACATTCTAATATTCCAGGAAGCTCTCTGTGGTGAAATGACACAAGGTCATTCTGAGCCCCAAAGTCCCAGTTTCCCCAGAACCATCAGGAGTAGAGCCTTCTGCCAAGCTTAAAAACATACTTCTTAGCACCCAAAAAATAGTTATTTTTTAATATTTGAAGAAATCTACCTGTCATAGGATGTGGCTCTTATGCCTTTCAGGAGAAGATACTCACCTAGTTTTACATATTTTCCCTGTTGGTTTCTTGGTTTATACACACATGTACATCAGTTCCAGCAATTCACATCCTTCTAGAAATTATCCTTCCATGAAGACTTTTAAATTGAATACACTACTCATTAATTATATATCACACATTAATTACACTAATACATTACACATTAATTATATATTACACATTAATTGCCCATTAATTATATATTACATTCTATTAGAGATTTTTCTAGTTGTTATTGCTATTTTGCTGTTATAAATTTGACAAGTTCTTGCTGAAAGGTAAGTGATAAATTAAGCAAAGGTCCAGTTCTGAGAGCCATGATTATTCAGTTCACAGCTTTTCTCTTTGTATCTGTTTGCACACAGTTTGATGAAGCAGCTGGTTCTCTGTGTGCATGAGGTGGTGTCCTCCTCCATGCTCTCTACTACAACTCTGGAAATCAGAGAAATAACTGGGGATCGGAAGGCAGTTTGTTTTGGGGGGTGGACATTAAAAATAACAACACACCTCTAAATCACATGAGAGAGACAGAGATTCCGATTTCAACCAGAACAAAACTTAGACTCACATATAAACATGAGCAAAGAAAAGTATGTCATTCAGAAAGAGGGTTAATAAGAAAGGGCGCATAAGGAGAGGTGAGGACAGAGGCAAATGAGGTGCTCTGTCAGGTGGAGGAGAACCCCATGCCTGGGAGGTAAATCCCACATGGAAATGACAAGCTCAGACCACAGGCTCCTCTAGTCCACACCAGCACCTGCTCACCTGCCCTGACCCAGTCTGGGCAGCCCTGATGCCTCGCTCCCGGGTGGTCTGTCTTTGGGAAGAGGATGCCCGAGTCAGACTAACAGCGACATCCATCCTGATGGACAAGTATACTTTTTACCATAACTTAATAAAAAGCTTCCTGGTTTTCTCTGTGTCTTTGATATTTGTTAGCAAGATTTTGCCTCCCAGGGAAAACCAGGAAATGGACAAGATGGAGCTTCTATACTCAGACTCAGACCAGACTCTGGAGCAAGATGAACACAGCTGAGTACCACCAACCTGGGCCTGGTCATGCACTCACTCAACCAGCATTTCCTGTACTGTGTGCTGAGCACACACTGAGGACCATCTAGGAAGAGAAACTCCCTGTCATGTGCATGCCCATTAGAGTTTTATAAAGACTGCACATGAACCGAAAGTTCTCATCTCAACCTCACTCATGAATCAGAAAAAAAAAAATTAAATACAGATGGTCAGGAATACAGGGAAACCAAATAAGACAATGCTTGTATAAATAAATCTTTTTTAAAAAATAAAAATTTAAAAATAAAATAAGGGCCTCCCTGGTGGCACAGGCATTGAGCGCCACACTGTGATGCTGTCCGCAGCCACTGCAGCACAGGTTCGATCCGCACCAGCCCACAAGAATCCCACATGGTGAGCAGACCTCTCCTGTCTTGCCCGCTACTCTCCTCAGCAGTGTAAATCATCAGTCTGCTTGTTCTGTTCCCCACTCTGTCTCTGGTGAATCCTCTCACCCTCCTGCGCATCTGGCCTGTACCATGGTTCTTGTATAAAATAAATAAATCTTAAAAATTAAAAATTAAAAAAATTAAAAAAATAAAAATAAAATAAAATACAGATGGTACCCAGTTTGGGGCTAGGACCCAAGCTTCCATATTTAAATATCTCCAGCTGATCTGATAATTAACCAGTTTCTTGTTGGCATATATGTGCTGTATCCACCTGAGGCACAGCTCTGATCATGACATTGCTCAGAAATTTAATAGATGACCTTCTTTTCTTTTTAGTGTACTAGAGAATCTGATGATATAGAGGCTCCAGAAGACAACCACTGTTAACTTCTTGACATAGGAGCTTTTAGAATTCCTTTATGCCTCATATGTATGTGTGTGTGTGTATACATATGCACACATACATACATATGTGAACAGGATAATACTCTATATACATACTCATTAATATTTCATGGATATTTAACATTAAAATACATAAAGATGTAATTTTCCTTATTACATAAATAGTATCCCACCATGTGGGTAGCCTTTATTTAACCACTATTTAGTTGCCAAGAGCAAGGACTTTAGAATCTAACCAATATTTCAATATCAATTCTGCCACTTATTATTTATGTGAACTTGGGCAAGTTCACTAATTTAACAGTGTTGCAGTTTCCTGGAACAGTCTAGACAGTACAGGCAAAGTGAACATTTTGGTCTAATCCATGAATTACTCACAGCCCTGAGTCAGAGACCAGGCTTGGCGGGAGAGGGACATGTGGATATTTCCACGATGCCTCGGGGTCCCAGAGTCCTCAGTGACCGTGTGAAGAACAGTACAATGTGAACACTAGATCACAACAGTGCTGCATTCAAGGGTTAGTTTGGGACCTTGGTTGCCTGTCCTACAAAATGGGGTAATATTTACCCTAGAGAATTCTTATATGAGTTATGGGACATATTTATAAAATGTTTAGGATAAAACCTGGTCTATTATAGGCTCAGAAAGCTGAGTTCCATTCTTATTTGCTTGTTATTGTTGCTGTTTTATTTGCTTGCTTGTGTTTTGCTGTGGGTGGGGTGGGAAGGGTCAATGATTGGTCACATCTTACACCACTCAGAGACTGATGGGCATAGATGCCCAGCCATGACCAGCCACCTGGGATGCCAGTGAGGACATTCTCCCTAGCTCTCTCAACTTTCTGCTCAGCCTAAGGGGAAGGAGGTGAGAAACAGTTTTATTATGGTCCCCCTTATCCTCCCTCACTCTAGTGCTATTCACAGGCCACTAGCATTGCTTCATGATGCTCAAGCCCTTAGCTCAGAGCTTTGCTTTTTGAGGACATAGATGAGCTGAACTGAGCTGGGGTGGCAGGGGGCAAAAGGGGGGTAGGAGTTTAACCAAGACACCCAGGAATCTAAGTGAGCAATCAAGTTATCATCTTTGAAGCAAGAGCTATGACCCATGGGTCCTCAGGCAATGTGAGGGTGGAGAGCATGGGAAACCCCACCTCAGACCCCCGGGCCAGGCACTGTCATCCTCACTGTCATGGAATCTACCCTGCTTACATGTGGTCCCACCACCAAGTCTCTCAGCAGCCTCTGTGCTCTGATCCCTTTTTCTGGGCCGCATGATTGGCACAAAGGGTGGCCAGACCCTTCAAAGAAAGAGGTTCTTGTCTCTATGACCCTGCTCCCACAGCCCAGCACCTCCTGCGGGAACCCCAGGTTAGTCAGCAGGGCAGGTTCATGGCTAGTCCAGGACAGACTATGGCAAGGGCCATAGTTATGTTCAGGTGTGAAAATGTAAGGAATGGAAAAGACCATTTTTAAAGCCTTGGATCCAGACATGCTCCATAGAACAAATGGTTTAGAAGGAGGATTTGGGCAGGATGGTCGGGTTTCAACAGGTAGGTGTAGGAGAGAGGTACATGGAGAAATACAGGGAGAGGTACATGGAGAGGTACATGGAGGTCTATGGGAAGGGGACAGTTATTCCAGGCAGAGAAATATGAGTGAGAAAAGGTAGCTGACCTAGGACTTGGGTCAGCAAGGATGGAAGGGGGCTGAAGTCAGTAGAAGAGGCTGGTTAGGCTGGGTCAGACCTTCTCACAGCTCCCCCCCTGAAATCCCAGAGGTCCTCACCAAGGGCGGTGGGAGGAACCTGCACATCCCACCTAACCAGCACATGACCCTATGTGGATGGAGAAGATCTGGGCTGTTTTCATAAATAGGCAATTAATTTTGACTCCATTCTCTGTAAACAGAAGGTTTAACAGACTGAAATGAAAATAATACAAAGTCCTCTTCTGACTCTGTGGATGAATTTGGGGCCCATGGACACAGGCAGAGACCAAAGTCCAAGTTAGTACAGTGGC